AATTCATCCGTTAAAAACTCATTTTAAATTTGTATTTTATTATCTAATAATAACATAATTCGAAACTTTCAAAATGTAAAAAATAAAAATAAAAATAAAAAAATAAAAAAAATTAAACGGGGCAAAAAGTTGCCCTGTCCCCGCCCCATCCCGTGCCCCTCCCCGCCCCCGTCTACGGCTGGACGGGGCGATATTTTGGCCAAACGGGATGGGGTGGGACCCCACCACGCCTCGAACCCGTCCCATTACCATCACTAGTTAGCTTATTGGAAACTCTTTAGGACAAAGGATTCTTGTTGGTCAAAGACGTGAAAAAATAAAAAAAAATAAAATTTTTGTCCTGTCAAAAGTCCAAGTCCTTACTCCTTAGTCTTAGAATGTAATAATCTTTTTCCCTAAATTCAGGATTGCCTTAAAATATTTAGACAAAAGTTTGTGCATATTTTTGGGGAGAGTGCAAAATTCTTATCTGACCAAAACCAATTTCACTTGTCAGGATGTAACTTTGGGTTTGGGCGGCTAAAAAAAGGGCTCACACTTTGTTCAGTGTTTGGCACAATTAGGTAGAATTTTAGGGTTTAAAAATTTTAATTGTTAGAGAGAAAATAGATTCATTTATATAAATAGTATTTATAATACTTCTTCACATATAATAGTCTAAAAATCTTTGAAGTAGTCTTTCTTCCAAGAAATAAATTCGGAATTAAGATAAGAAATGACAAATATGAAAATTAGAGCTTCTATTTGTAAAATTTATGAAAAAAATGTCACCTAATCCATAAATGAGGGCGCATTATAGTAATTTGTTCCAACTCGAGACATATACAAAGATGAGAATAATCAGATTCACTAAAGGACTTGATATATAAATAAGGAATCCATAGGGTTAAAATCAGTTTTTAGTAGTTTTTGTTAAAAATTGATGAAATGTATAGTTAAAAAGTTGTGAATCCTCTAAAATATGTTTAATTTTGACCTAAATTAAAATCTTGATTTTAATCCCCACCAAGAAGCTTAATAATTAGGTGAGTAAGATTTTCGCTCTTTCTAAAATTAGTATTAAATAGGCAACATCACATTTTTTCGTTGTTAAAAATATAATTTTTCCAATCTTTTCAATGAATGTAGCAATGAGCTCAACAAAATTGCGAGAATGAAAGATTGCGCAGTTGATGTAAAGTGGAAAAAAGAGGTCCCAACTTCATGTTAACATTAAATCATTGTATTTCATTCAGAAGGAAGGAAAAATAAAGATTAATCGACTTTCAATTTATTGAGATAATACTTAATTAATCGCCATTGTATTTAATTTAAGTAATGCAATTCTCCAAAGAAATTCCACCTTACAATATATAATAAATTATTAGCAAACAAGATTACACAATTCAATCAGTGGAATCACATCTTTTAACATGAACATTGACTAACTTTTGCATCCTTCAAATGCTAAAACTTATTAATTAGCAGACCTTTCATAAATGAAAAAATAACTTAAATTATTGGCTTTGATGATCCCATTCAACCTAAAATAATGATAAAAGTAATTTTTCAATGGAATTTTTTTTGATTTATTTAGACTGTCCATACTCCATAATTTATTTTGAAATTAAATTTTGAATAATTAAAAATAAGATATTCTTCTTTTTTTTGGACAATATATTTTTTGTTCCTGAATTTATGGAATAAGATAAAATTAATGGCATTCGATGCATCTATAGTTCTATAATATTCAATCCTTCAAAAGAGTAGTGGAGGAGTCAATGGTCATAGATTGTGTCCATGCCAAACTCATTAAAATATAATTTCTGATTTAGTTTAAAAAATAAAAATTATGGGTGCTAAATATTATTTAATTACTTTATATCTTCAATAAACACATAAAACGGTGGGCTAAAATAGATTTATATAGTCGACTTCAAATATAATGAGGTTAAAAAAAACAAAAAAAGGAAAAAACAATCACCTAGAGTTGCACTTCATGTTGAACCTAAGGGGTGCCCACGTGCACTCATTTTACCATAAAAAGTATTCAAACATAAGTTATATTAAAAAGGTAAAAATAATAATTGGATCAACAACTTTACATTTGAAATTGAAATCGAAATCGAAATCGAAATCGCTATTTAATCAAAATTAATACATTTCTCTTTCTTGAAAAGAGGTAATCAAACAGGGACGGATCCAGGATTGAATCCATGACCGGGCTACAAAATTTCAAATCGAGCTACTATGTGGAAAAAAAAAAATTACACATGAAAAACTAATTTTTTACCCAAAAAAATAAAAAATACCTTAAAAAAAATTCTTGGACCTAGGGGGGGGCTACAGCCTAGCGCCCCCTATATCCGTCTGTAATCAGATATGGTTCATTCCATTCCCGATTAATGATCGAATTTCATCTTAACTTTTTAACGTGAAGTTTTGAGCATAGAATTCATCTTGACTTTTTTGGATGGAACATTTAACAATTAAATACAAATCCTGTAATGTCATCGTAATAATCTCTCTTTCAGTCTTCCTTTTTCTTTCCTCTGAATTATTTTTCAATAAGTCATTACGGAATTTTGAAAAGCTAAAGACAAAAATGAGTTGACCTGTTTGATCATTATTGATAAGTTTATGCTGTTTCCAATGCCATTTAGGCATGTGAAGTTTTAATTAACAACAAAAAGCTTAAAAAAAAACAAAAAAGCATCCTATTAGAAGTGCTTAATTAATTAGATTAATGTCCCACTAATTATTTTTTGTTTGCGCAGTTTTATTATACTTTTGACTATACCCCTTTTTCCTTGCTTTTAAAGACAAGGCGCTGCTTGATGACTCATGACTAACTTTTTCATTAATAGTTTTTTTAATCTAATTTCAAAATTAGAAATTTATTTTTATCACATTCATTTGAATAGACTTTAACAATTATAACACGAAGTGTTAATCATGATTTATTCTACACTTCTAACATGTTCTATTAAGAATTTAGCCCCCATTTATTTCTCATTTTTTGAAGAATGAGAATGAAAAATATAATCGTCACGGGATTCACACAAAAGATAGAAATTCAAATTTGATTGTTTGATGTGATGGATAATGGTCATATTTTTCATTTTAATGAAGAAATAATGGGAACCAAACATGGGCTTAGGATCACACTCTTGTTAATGAAAGTGGCCGTGACCACCTAAATCGATATTCTTTAATTTATTCTTGACCAATAATATTGTTTACTAGTTGATGTATTCTATATAACAACAAACTCATTTTAACACGTAATTCTGCTTAAGTGTTATGTTACATTTATTATTACATCTATTAAAATATTCGAATCGACTAGATTTAGCCTTTATTTGTTAACCATTCTACCACATTATTTTTTTTACATTACTTATTTTCAACCACACATTTTTTATTAAAATAATATTACACATAAATCAGAAACATTTTCTTCTTTTTTAACCATACATTTCAACATTTATAACTATTCCTTAATACACTTTTTGAAATTAAAGGGGCACAAACAAGACCTAAAGCAAATGCGTTAGTGCAACGAAACGTATTTTTCATCAAATTCATTTTCAGTCACATATTTTTTAAACTCATAACTTTGATTAATTTTACATCACACATTTCTGTCAACTTTTATCTAAATTTACTAAAAATCCGATTTTTAACTAAAAACAAGGGCTTAATTTCTATTACTCTTTCCAAATACGTTCTATTGAGACTATGTTTTTACAGACATATATATATATACATACACACATGACACGTCTTGATCACCATTTAACTTAGTATTTCTCTCAATTTTAGTCAATTTAATGTTTGGAAAAGGGTTATAGGTGCCGAACTTGAAAATAAGACTAAGCTTAAAATTTTTTTACTTACAAATAAGTTTATTTAAGTAAAAAAGTAATTTTGAAATTAATTTTTTTTTAATTTTTTTTTTTATAGACCAGTTGCTGTTTGGATTAATGAAAATCTTTAACTGCTCCCTTTGAAAATCACGAAGAAGACAAGAAACTAAAATAAAAGTTTGACAATATATTTTGCATGGAATGCGGATTAAACATGTGACATCTAAGACTTGTTACAAGAATAATACAAATATTAATCATTAACTTATTCAAATATATGAATTTCTCAAGAAAAATACAGACAAAAATCTGTCTGCCATTCTCTTTCTTATTTTTCACAGCTCAAATTGTTAAAGTTTCTTAATCAATCCCGACATTCCTTCAGAAGTCTGAACCCAATTTTAAGGTCATTATGAGAGCAATTCCATATTAATAGCATGCTAATGAGTCTGATGATTATGCTATTGCTAAAGCATTTAAATTTTAAGGACATGTTTGGTATATTTAACTGGACTACATGAACAAGTATCTATCATGTTTTTCTTTTTATATTTTATTTAGTCCTGTATAATACAGTATAACATGTTTATAGTGTCTTAAAGATGAAATTACAGTTGTTTGTTTTGATAGATTGAACTAAGTAGCCCTCAACGATATTTAATAAAAGATAAATTAATATTTGTCTATTCCTACTGTGTGCCATATTTATGACTATACAAGACAAAGAACAAATTTTCCCATCTAATTCTCATCTAATATATGTAATCCAGGGTATCGACATGCATTGTCTCAAAATTGAAACTCTAAGTGTGGTAGTGTCGACCTGTGATGTTCAACACTCGTCTAAACCACAACACTTGTTACATTAAATCATTGCCTAAATTATATACAAGAATTTATGATTAATTTGACATATCATTTGCTGCAACCAAATATTAAACATCACGAGTACAAGTGCTAGATACTATTATTCAACTTACAAAATCCGCACTCCAAAAGAAAGATTTTCTAAAAGAGCTCAAAAAAGGGTGGTCTTTGAATGAATGACGTCTACACTGTCCTTCTCCCTGTCTCCATCCCCACATTTCCTTCTTTAAAAGAAACCCTCCACACTCTTAATTCAAACTCAATACTTCACACAACTTCCCTCATTCTCCTAAATTCTCATCTTTCTCAACAAAATTCTTACAAGAAATCACAATGTCTATCTCAAAATCCTCAAACAAGCCCTTCAATCTCTTTGAACCTATTCTTACAGAAACAGGTTTTGCATTATTACAACGTAATATATCTATCCCTTTGTCAACTGAAAGGAGAGGCAGAAAAAAACAAACAGAACCAGGAAGATTTCTTGGTGTAAGAAGGCGACCTTGGGGCAGATATGCTGCTGAAATAAGGGACCCTACAACCAAAGAAAGACACTGGCTTGGGACTTTCGATACTGCCCAAGAAGCTGCTCTTGCATATGATAGGGCTGCCCTCAACATTAAGGGCACGCAAGCAAGAACCAACTTTATATATTCTGATAATTATAGTAATACACCTTTTCAATCTTTTTTGAGTACCCCTTTTGATCTCCAAGGTTTCTTGCAGCAGCCCACAAATCAAAACAGTGCGTCCTCTTTGACGTCGACTTTGCAGGTACCGATTCAACGTACTGATCAAGACGAATGTCATCAAAATCAAAACAGTACGTTTCAACCTGACATTCCACGAAAAAATAATCAGCACACAGTGAAAACTGATTATGATAACAGTTTCTTTATGTCTGCTGATAGTACAAACTCAGGGTATTTGGATTGCATTGTTCCTAACAACTGTTTGAATCCTCCTCCTACTACTACTGCCGCCAGCATGAACTCAAACAAAACCAATGAAATTAATTCTTCGCATAATCAGGATTTCTACTCAGATCTGAGTTTCTTGCAGAATCTGCCGTGTTATGATAGTAATGAGTTTCTTGTTGATTCGACAAGTGTTTCGACAATGATGAACCCGGGAAGTATCTGGAATGATGATCAGCTGTCATGGGGACTGAGTTCTTCTGAACTTTCAGCCATGATAAACGGTTCTTCAAATGGATGCATGGGAACTTTGGATTCAATGTGTGATTATCCAAGTTTTGAGATGAAGGATCCAACGAGTTCAGCAGAAAGTTGCACATCGTTATTCCCTTCTTTTGGGGACGCAGCAGACTTGGGGTACACTCCTTTTTGAATGCTGATGAACATTGAAGATTAATTTGAAGCAACTCTGTAATTTTGAAATCTATTTACATCTCTCTCTCTCTCTCTCTCTCACCTATCGGTACTTCAATGTTAGTCGATTGAGACCTTCACTTAGTTTCACTCAAGTTTCTTCCTAGTCATGGATGGTTCACCTAAGTTCGAGTCCATAAGCAGAGTGGAGAGTATTTTGGTTACTCCTGTGATGTGTTTGGTTCAAAATGTCAAAAATGTTATTGTAATTTTGAACTTGTGGAAATCAGTTACTACATTAATTCTCTTTTGGAGTTTTCTCTAATTATGGTTCAATCACATACTCTAAGAGCCAACGACATAATTTTTTAATCTACCGGGTTGGATATGACTAAAAAAGAAAAATCGATAAACATGACGTTGTTCAATCGAACGTACTAAATAGCAACTGTCCACACATGCACATTCACCAATTACTTGCAACATTTTTGGTAAACGTACTAAATAGCAACTGTCCACACATGCACATTCACCAATTACTTGCAACATTTTTGGTAAAAAGGTAATATAAACAAGATTTTTAGCCTTTTTAGGTCCAATATTTTACAGAAATGGCAATCAAAACTGCTCATGTCTAACCCATGAATATCAAGCATGCGTTGTTGCTCGCAGCATTTAATGTATTGATATGAAATGAATGGAGACATTAAAAAGCTATGCATCGTTTACTTCCAAGTATCACTGAAGGCACAATTCCGCTAAATTTTGTCAGTATATTGTTCAGTAGTGTTTAGTCTCATTTGGCCTCCATTCTCTTTTTCATTTTTTTTCTCTATCTTATTTTCAGCCACACGATCTTCCATAAAATAATATTACACGTCAATAAAAAACTTTTCATTCTTTTTCAACCATACATTCTTCAAAAAAATACTATTCCAACCATTAAAATTTGACAAAAATGAGAGCCCATCGAGGGCTTAATTTAACATCATATCACAAAATGATCTTCAGCATTGTCCCCTTCCAAATAAAATTTAGAAACGTAAGGCACAATTTCCATCATTGTCCCTATGAAGTTGATAATTCTAATTTTGGAACTTCATGAAAATATGAAAACAACATTAAATCATTCTAGCATCCCCAAATCTGAAATAACTGGAAAAATATGAACACCGCTCAACAAATTCAAGATTTTCTATGAATTCGATGCACTGTTGATAATTTATTGAAGCAGCATTCAAGCAATTCATATCCCACAAAATAACTGTATATTTTACATTCCAGGCAGTATTGAATCGCCTTTGCGATTCTCCAAAATTATTATTTGCTCCACAACAAAGCCCCGAACAAAAAAGGGGAACAAGAACACCTTGAGACTCATTACCTAGTCGAGGTTGTTCCCATTTTGAGAATGACAACATAAATAGACACAAGCAGCTCCAAAATTTGGGCAGGGGTGCAAATTATTGTTTAAATGAGAGGTTTTGTTTTTTTGTTTTTTTGTTTTTTGTTTTTTGTTTTTCTCTTTTTTATTCAAAAACTAGCTAGCAGAAAGAGTAAGGTGTTCTCGGATCTTTGAGGGGGTATAAATCGCTTATTGAAAATGAAAATGGCAGGCAAAGGATGACATTATGAACACAGGTGAACATAGGTAGAGGGGCTTGCACCCGAAATGGAGTGTTGACTGTTGGGTTCATGAAAATTAATATACAAGGACCATGAAATGGCTTCTTGTGTTCAGTTTGATGTATGAACCTCACCTCCAATACCCTGCCCCGACTGCTGAATGCTAGAATGAGAAACAGGGCCACTTTGTGAATATATTGAACCAACTGAAGCACCTGTACTGCTTATAGACGACATTTGGGGTGATGGAGAGTCTCCTCTGTATCCAGCAATAACCTCGGGTCTCAAGTCTGATGATGACGATGATGATGGAGCCAAAGTTGCAATACTAGATCCCACAGGATATGGAGCAACAGGCATATCAGTTAGAGAAGATGCAGATGGACTGCTGCTCAGCTTCTTCATGGGGTGATCGAATCTGCACAAGGGTCCAAACTGGCATACTGCATTCTGTGAATAGCTAATGCAAACTGGAGCACCCTGAAAAATAATTAAAAGACACTATCATAACATCCAAGAATACAACAAAAAATGCTGTCATATGATTCTCATATTTATACAGAATAGTAATCATATAAATACTACTTACTGAAAAGAAATAGCGCGCAAATAAAAATAGGGAAATGCAAATTGAAATTCATGTAGTTACCTCCACATCATTTGGAAATAACCCACCTTTTGTCGTTTTCAACACACTACTGATTAACCAACCCAACTCCTAACCCTTCCATTCTACCCCTTTAACTTAACCTAATTATGTCTACATTGACCATATGGAATAAGTGATGCCTTCTTACAATGTCATTGTGTCATCTTCATATTAAAAATATAGTCCTTGTTTCCTAAAAGGTTACTAATAATTTCATTTTTTTTTATCAAGTCAAAGTCAAACATTAATTTCAACTACACATTCCTAACTACTGCACATTTATTATCCACATATTTTTATGGGACCCACAACTATTCCTACTAAAACATTACTAATAGTTTTACATGAACAGGGCTATACTATCGTTTTACATAAACAAAATTAAGACCATTAGGCAATGTTAATATAGAAATTAAGTAAAGGGCAACGGTTTTGGAAAAAACAAATGTTACCGGACAATTTTCAAACCACAAGGGGATAATTAAAAGGAAGTCAAATCACGTGATGATAAATTGCTATTTTCCACAACAAAATATAATTACATAGATTGTCCATGAGTGTAGATTCAAGATGATAATATTTTGATAATCAGAAAATTTTTAACCAACGGCATTATAAAAATATAGAGTAAAAATCTAATTTAATCATTACAATCTGATGTACTCATGCACACATCATGAAATAAAAAGGAAGAAATGCTGTGCTCCAATTTCAAAGAGTAGCATAAGGTATACTAAAAGCTACCAATCATTGAGTCCATCATACCAGAGGGCACCTCCACCTACATGCTTAAATATATTGTCAGTGTCATAGATGGTAAAAAAAATGTAGAATAACTAGAGGTAAAAGGAAGGCAGCGTTCCCAGTATGAGATAGTTATGAGAAGAAAGAATGACATCCCTCTGGCAGAATCTAATGAACTTTACTGCTAAGGTATCATCCAAGGCTTAAATTCTGTTTTTCAATCTCAAGGAGATGAACAGAATCTGATTCCATGGTACTGGCACAACTCCAACCCCACCCCCACCCCCACCTCACAAAAGAAAAGAAAGTAGTCAAAAACATATGAAAAAGAAAGAAAAGAGAAGATCCCACAAAATTATATGCCATCAATATCTCTTGACTAAAGTTTAACTGAGAAGGTCTACTATTTAACGAAGTAAAGAAATGTAAAGAAATGTGTACTGTTAATTATTTCTATATATATATATATCAAAGAGGCAGACCGGTCGCAATGGATATCCATAATAATTCAGGGTCAGCGAGCCTGAAGATCCACCTTCCTGTTTTGGATGGTGATATTTGCAGGAAGCACCATATTTACACATTCCTGTCCGCATATAGTACTACAAGTTCAGCACCAAGAGAACAGTTAGTATGAAAAGGCCTAAATGATAGAAAGATAATGAAATTCTCAGTAAGACAGACAAATTAACACACATTAGTAGGAGTTACAACATCAATGAACAGATAACTAAAGAGTAAAGTGCATTTTGAAGATGTATATTTTTTTAGTTCCAACCGTTTGACATCTCTTCAAAGTTTATGCAGAACACAGTAGCTTTTCCTCAGATAAATAGCACTTCTAACATTGTTAAGATTAAGATTGAGATTAGCTTTTCATTTTATTTTCAATTCCTGTTTCTTACTAGAGGTATGAAGAATTTGAGAGCTCACTCTAAATATTAAAAAAATAAAAAATGATGAGTTATAGGAGTCAAAATCTATCTAGCACCTACGCTGCCTCTATCAAAAGTTATAGAAAACAAAAGTCCAAACTTTTGAATATAAAAAGATAGCTAAGCACAATCATTGAGGAGGCAGATCCATATTATAGAAACATTATAATAATAATAATTCCTGTTTATATAATCTGCACAACAATGATGTAAACTACAAAGAAAGAAGGAAGACATATTCAAGAAACAAGGTCAGGCTTCTAAAATAAATATGAATTACCTTACGATAACCCTAAACATAGTCAATCTGAAAGATATGAGTATATGAACTTGCTTTTATATAATGTATATCTATAATAAAGAAACGACGATTCCTGATCAACATAAAACAAACTGAATCTTTCATAAGAGACACAAGTTGACAAATCCAAATGCATTCTTAATGATAAAGCACTATACAAACTTTTGAGGTTCTAAGGTTAATCAGCTTGAAAATAATAGAAAGAGGTCACAACAAATTCATAAAGAATAGATCCATTAAATTCTGTAAGGATACAGTAATTGCCAGAGGACATAAAAAAAATGAAAGCAATTTAAGATGCTCTAATCTATGGATTCAAAGGATAGGTAAAGATGAAATCATCAACACGATACAGACAATCATAACACAGAAAGAGGGAAACTGCAAACATTTTTAAGACCCAGAAGTTGTAGAATATTGCAAAGTAGGAAACTAATTGTCGGTGTTCAAATAGAGTAGCAGAATACACATTATGAAAAGGACGAATTGAAAAAGATAACCAGCATGGAAATGTTACCAATACAAGAGGCTGCAAACCCTGAACAATACCTTACCCATTTCAATATACTGATCATCCAAGAGAAAAAGAGAATGGTTTATCAATGAAGCTGTTTGTATCTGGATTTAGAAATTAGACATGAAATTTTTTTTATGGTGGAATCTAGCAGAGGTATTTCTAATTTCTAACATCAATCATGGAAAATATATTGCAAATTTTTTGGTTATATGCAGTTGACAGATTCATACGGAGGCATTTAATACATAGCAGAATCAACATCAAACAAGGTATTATCATAAATATCAAACTAGGAATCTAGAGGGAACAAAAGGACAATTTCAGACAGTATGCAGACGAATTATTTGCATCCTTGGATCAACGAAAAAAGCTCAATCTACAAAACAGTAAACAGATGAACTGCTTGAGTAGAATAATCTAATAAATGTACTTTCTCCAGTATTAAACAATGAACAGATGGATT